TCCAGCTAAGATCTAAATGGGTACCCTTTTAGCTTCTTGAGTTTGAGAAGCACCAGCTACATCAGCGATGAAACAAACAGCACAGACATCCTCTGCTGCAAAGATTTTGGTATCATTGAGTATAAAAAGCACTGAAAACAAAGTTTTGTTTTAAAGATTTTTCTTGAACTAGGGTGAACAGTAAAACATAACATAAAGCAGTATGCTAACAAAAACAATGGTAGACTTTAAACCTTGCATGTAGTGTTCAGAAGTGCTATAATAATTAATGTCAACTAAAACATATATCTACTCTTTCTCCCAAGTCATACTTAAATTATTTAAGTATCACAGCAGAAAGGCAAAACTAATGCAATTATAGATGATGTCCAGAATATATTACTGGTATCTGCTGGGCAATAGGCTGTATTATTATTCCCCCCATCTATGATTTTTGAGGCTCTATTTTATTTAATTCCTGAAGCAAGGTTAACTCTTATCAGTGAAACCTCTAAAATAATCATGATAAATCTAAAAACTTGTTGTTTGGTTGTGTTTTTTTTAAAAGCAATACACCTGGATTTAGTGAGGCTGATGGCCTCCTTAGATATAAGTGATAAGGAAAGTTAGAAATTCTACTGTCAGAACTACACAGCACTAAAATGCATAAAGGCAAAGACACAAACCCCACACATAGGCCTTATATTAAAGCCTTATATGTGAATTAGAATTTGTCTTAGTAACCAAATTTTTTTAAGTCCTAACAATCTCTCTGTTCACCTGGAATGGTTGAAAGCCAAAGTTACCAGCCATACTCGTCCAAGAGTTGGCTTTGTTGCACCCATCTGTACAGTACTAGCATCTTACTCCATCCCAATTACAGCACTGCACAAAAGGCACTTGTTATGACCATTTAACCTAAGTCAGCCTATTAGCCAGGCTCTGTACCAGCCTTGGAACTGCGTCTTCTCCTCTGAGTCACAGTCATTACCCAGTACTTACCTGATACTACAAAGGAAAGAATCAAATTATTAAGACTATAAGTTTTAGTCAATATTTTCCCTATAATAATAATCCATTTTTTTAAATAAAACCATGACTACTTTCTCCTGTCTTCCTGAAAGTAAGTGTGTGGCAGTTGGTGAGAAGCGCTAGACTTGCAAAGTTCCCATGCTTGACATACTTCTACTTGACACATGCAACACAGGTTTCTCACTAGGTAACTCCCCTGTACTGTCACTGTAAAGATGCAGACTCTATTCTTTCTATTCTGTTTTACTGCCCTAGGCTTTTGGTGAGATGGCATCAATGTTTTATCAGAAGAGGGTATGGACAAGAGAACAGTGCTATTTGATGAAACTGAAAAGTACAACATGAATGAATGCATCATTGAAGTATTAAGTGAAGAAATTCTGAATTCTAGACAGCCCAAATAAAAAAGTAAAAAAACAAAGTTAAGATAAAAGTTAAGATAAAAGCAGTTTTGAATTTTCATTCAATTTTAGGAAGTTAAATGTTCTTTAAAAAAAAAAAAACCAAACACCACACACTAACTTAGATTCAATTAGCTAAGGAGAATTCCCAGCTTCCACAGAAATCACAATCAGAAGGCCAAAAAATGGTTTGGTAATTGTCTTCTCTTAAGGAAATATCTTCTTAGTAACAAATACACATCTTAATGTTGCTAGTCACAGTTGCAGCTATCTTGCTTCACAGTTCTCAAAACAAAGATATCACATTTACATAAAGTGACCTAGTAAGAAAAATCTGTAAGTCGCCAAATAAGATCTATGAATCTAACAAAGAAAAGCACAAACACAGCTTTTGGATACAACTGAATGCTGGAATTGTATAACATACCAAAGACTTCATGTGCCAGAAATAAGCGAATCACCAATACTGAGCAGAGATGATCATTAGTTCTAAACAATCTAGAGGGGAAAGGACAGAGAGACCACAGCTGAGATGATCCAGTAATCATTTCCTTTCTCAGTACACTCATTTCATTGTGGTTTGGCAGAGTTCTTCCTGGATTGGAATAAAACAATGTTTGCTTCTCCAATTTCCTTAGTTTTGATGAAGTTTTCTCTTCATACCTTAAGAGTACAAAACATCCGCCAGATGTTTCTGAAGCTTACGTTTCTAGTAATCACATCTTAGGGTCACAGGATAATTCAGGCTGGAAGGGACCTCGGGAGGTCTCTAGTCCAACCTCCTCTCAAAGAAGGGCCAGGTGTGAGGTCAGAGCAGGTTGTTCAGGCTGTGACCCAGTCAGGTCTTGAAAACCTCCAAGGATGAAGATTGCACAACCTCTCTGAGTGACCTGGTCAAATACTTGACCGTCCTCATGGCGAACACGTGAACATGATATTCAGTTAGAACGCCTCTTGATTCAGTTTATGTCATTGCCTCTTGTCCTCCTGCCATGCACCGCTGTGAAAAGCCTGGATATCTCATCTTGATGAACTCCTCATAGGTGTGGAAGGCTGCTATTCAGGTTCCCTGAAGTCTTCTCCAGGCTGAACAAGCCCAGCACTCTCAATTTCTCCTCACAGTGCAAGTGCCCTAGCTCACTCACCATCTTGGTGGCCCTCCATTGACCTTGTTCCAGTTTATTGATGTCTTTCTTGGAGCCCAGAACAGATTTTTTCCTTCTACAGTCAACTGTCTTGGTAACTAAGAGGGAGCCTTCTATATGATAGTCAATGGATAACGTTGCTTTCATTCATTTCAAAAGTTATTAACCAAATAAACATTTAACGCAAGACTGTTAACAATTACATGAGCAATAAAGCTACTTGAATGTACAATTATCTGTCAGTAGTTAATAACACAAGCCAGTATCTCCTATTTCAGCAAGATGCAAGTGAACTATGAAATATATTAAAGTTTTTAATTGCAGGCGATATTTAACAGTCATATGGAAAACACCCTTTGCTACACAAACTTTTGAATAAAACAAAATAGAGGCATGTTTTACCATCCCACAAGCCAGACAATCTCCCACACTAGGTCTGTTATAGCTTTGGAGCGATTCATTCTCCTCAAGACCATGTCAGAAGATTGATATAAGAATTAAGAGCATTTTAAGTGATCAATAGCACTATTATAACTACACACAAACTTCAAAAACAGTTGTCTTAGTTAATTTTGGGCTCCATTATACAGGAAGAAATAGTCTTTTTAAACAGGCCTGATAATTTGCTCCTTATACTGTTAAGAAAAGCAAAATGTAAAAAAGGTGTAACTGCTCCTTGCCATGTAACATACATTCCCTGACAGCAAAAAAAAAAAAACCAAAACAAACTTGATATATATTCTTGGTCTTCTGGCATAGAACAGCTAGCCAAGAAGTAGAAAAGACTATGTGGAGGTCTCTAGGTCTATATTTCTAGAATGGTGATTTGCCTGGGATACAGCATAGCTGTTAAATACAGTTGACATTGCGGAGAACCAAACAACCACCTTCGTTTAGAACAGAAGGACAGAATATTAAGACTTCTGAGAATAAAGGACACCTCTTAAATACAAAAAAATTGGTTTGGAAAAATGTTTTAAAAGATTATTCAGAGAGAATTAATAACTTCAGAATATATGAGTTGTAAAAACAGTTAATTTTTTTTTATTCACTAAAAACAATTTCTGAAGATTTTGCACCTACAAGTGCATACAACAAACCTAAAAACACAACTAAGTGAAACTCCCACAGAATCAGTTGGTTTATAGAACAAAATGTATACTAAATTCTCCAATTAAAAACCTGTAAAGTAGTTTCCGTGCTTTTTAACCCACCTTCCCACAGCAGGGAATTAATCCCTCCAGGGGGATGCAAACAAACTTCAAAGAGAAGATTATACCCAGACACTAGTACTGTACAATGTAATGTTTATGGTCAAATTCGTTCAGATTTTCTGGCACTAGAATCCAGGTCAGATGTGCAGAAACAAAGACTAGTTATTAAAAGGGCTCCTGCAGTTACATCAAATAGTCGTGATGGCATATAGCAGTAGGACAAGCCAAAACTGTATTCCAGTTACAATTCCTACGGAGGCTTTGGCAGTAAAGGAAAGAGTTGCAGCTATTTGACTTTTGCTGATTGTTACAAATACAGATATAAAAGGAGATAAGTGGCTTTCCAGTCAATAAAACATAAAAGTACTTTCTATTGGTTCATTATACCATATATACAATACACACATGCTCATTTCATAAAAGAGAAAAGAATTATTACTTCTGTATATGTTGACTAATCGTAATTATTTAATTTTTACATCCCTCTTTTTTGTAACATTGTAGAGACCGATCTCACAAAACAATATCTTGAACTAAATTCTGGGATTACAAATTTCAACCTTTGCTCTTCCTGCTTACTTGATCAAGTTCCTCAGGTTTAGAAAAAAGTGCAATCAAAAATTCACACATATTCTTACATGTTGGTTTCAGCAGTTATGGGACTTCTCCAGCATAAACACAGGAATACTTGTCAGAAATAATATTATAGAAAAATACTTGTATAATTATGGCTTGATAACAATGTTTGGTACAAATAGTTAACCAAATAATAAACTGTGTTCATGCCTTATTTCTAGATAAAATCATTTGATCAAAGCAAGAATTCTGGGAACAGATAAAAATACTTCTGTAGACAAGTAAGAAAGAAGAAGTAAAAATAAATTCCACATAAGAAGTTTTAGAGTATTTTTACCCATTCCTTATATGACCAGCAAATACAAATCTGAAAACGCATTTACTTTTTCAACTTAATGAAGTAAGAGTTACTTCTATTTTAAAAGACAAAAAAGGCAAAACAAAGAAATCAGAAAATTGCCCACAATCAGGGATGGAGGCAAGAATTTCTCATTATTAGTCCTAACTGTAAAAGATTCTGCAGAACCAGTGATTAAGATATCTTTAAAAGGTAGAACAGCATAATAGTACATATACCTCATTATCTCACAATACATGGTTCTTAAGAATAGTTTTAGCCAACAAATAGGTAGAATTACAGTGCAAAACAGTACCTTTCCCAATGCAACTGATTCCTGAATAGGTTACTTCTGCATACACTTCAAAGGTAGTTTCCGGATTTTGTCTGAAAGAAAAAAAAAAGTATTTAGCACATTGAGAATTTTTTTTCAAGTGTGCTTTCAACTACTCAGTCAAAAAGGGTTCTAAGAATGCATACGTTACAATGATAACAACAATAAACTAGATTTCTTGGTTTATAGTCTGTGATGATTTCACATCAGATCTTTCTGCCTTACTAGTACATAACAAGGTATGACTGAAGCTCGGATGAGTTAGTACGAACAGGGTGTCTAACAAACTTCTATAGAGAAAAAAAGAATCAAAACAATAGAAATTAAGCACACAGAACCCTTAAGTCAATCCAACTGTTGTGACTAGACTGTATTTCTAGATACTAAAATATCACAGGCCTATCATTCAGTACTTTCCCAGAAAAATAAAACCATGCCTTTTATATCACTTTTCAGAATGCTACTCAGAAAGAGAAGCAACACTTACTTCAGTTCTTGGCCACAATAGTAATTTTCATTACATGCGCAACTTGCAAAAGCAAGTTCTTTTTATTTCACCTTTACTTTCAAATGAGAAAGTAAATCACCTACGTGCTAAATACAGGGATTTTTTTCAGAAAAAAAAAAAATCCTGAATACTCTTTTCACCAAACTGACAACAGTCACATTGTCCAACATGGGACAAACAACCCAGATTCACATTTTCATTACTGTGACCCTTGAGTTCAATTTAATGACACCTATTTGCTCAGGAAAAAGGAAAAAAAAAAAAAGAAGCTGCAGTCAAGAGGATGCAAAGTCATTTTATGCAGTCATTACTGGAAAACTTAAGAGGCTGTATTTAGGATGAAGACAGTTGCCCTCTTTAATACCTGTCAAAATATTTCTCTTTGTCAAAAAAAGGCCATGCTGAAGAATATCACAAATGCACAAGGTTTCACCTCATGAGACTCCAGAGCCTCAAATCCAGAAAGCTGCCAGATGCATGCGAAACAACGAAATAGGTGCAATAGTAAAAAATTATACCAAATTCAGGTACAAAATGTAAATGAAGCTTGAGGAAACAGACTTATTCTGCTCCAGAGTTATAAATATACCAGTAATAAAAGTAAAAAGTTAATGATATAAGACTTAAAAAAACCCAAACATTTAGTGTACATTTTCAGTTCTTACTAATGTAACTTCCCTAAGCGAAGCTCTGGAATTACATTTCGTAAGGAGCATGTAAAGGAAGCAGGTGATTATATAAGAAAGCATATTTTGAGTTAAATTCCTGATTCTAACAATTTTAGCTACTCCAAAATTTTTTGGGGTTAAAGAGAATCACACGTTAGATTGTAATTGTTTACTTACTGAAATAAGGATTCTTTTAAGTCTGAACACATGACATTTTATTCGTAGACTTTCTGGTTAAAACCAAGAATCAAAATTGCATAATTACTGTTCTAAATTTATGGCTGCTTGTAAAGTGATAATATTGTCTCCTATGTGTTAATGTAAACTATCTAACATTAGAAAATTGTTCAGGTATAATTAACTTGTGAATTTTGTTAGCTCCCTTACAGCTAAGGATGAAAATAATTACAAACCCCATATATGTATATATATGTTAAGATTCCTACCTGAATAACAATTTTAAAAATTAAACTTATCTTACCCAGCATCTCAAACCAAACATATAACCATGTCAAGGCATTCAGCCTACTCTTCAGAAAATTTCTATTATTTTTAATCCTACTTTAACATTAAAAGGGATTAAATGAAATATTTCTAACCATGCCACAGGCCCACTTAGTGTAACTCAAGTGGCTCTAAGCCAAACTCCACACCTATTTAAATCAACAGTAGCATAGGATCACACTCTACAGTTTTACAGAGCACCTCTCAGGAGCAACAATGGTTCACAATTCAATTAATGTTAAATTAATTTGCCACCAGTTCCCAACTGATTTGTCTTAAGTAGTCATTTTTCAGAAAACTACATTAATAAGTTACAAGAAATCTAAAATCAACAAATCAACTATTATTTTGCAGTATAAAACAAACTTGAGTAATTCTCTCTGTGCTACTTAGAGTTGCTGCACATAATCTGCTTCAAATATTGAGATTCTTAGCTACATTGCTACAATCATGATACAGGATGAGGATGAAATTATATCCACATAACACCAGAAATGTATTTTTCCTTTCATATATATTGCTGTGCAGCCTTATCTTACCCTCCTTGTTTGTCTTTATTTTTAGCACCCTGTTTCCTTAATTAGAAGTTTATAAATTTTATAATCTTTTTACAGCTAATGGATAAAATAACAAACACCTTTTTAGTATTATGTTAGAGTCTGTGTTCAAATTCTTTAGTGAAAACACTGTATAATACAGCTGGCAAGAGCACATACTACCTACCAAAACTTTCAGACAAAAAGACATCACATTTTGTATTTTAATATTCCATGACAAACGTCCACTTATTTCTACGAACAGTGAAATTAAAGTAGCTTTGCCAAGTCAGAAATTTAGTATTAAAGGCTGCATTCAACAAGCTAACACCTCAGTATGAGAATGAAGTCATTGCTGAATTCTGAGTATTTTATAACTTTTCAGTGGAACTAAAGAAACAAGTCACTATGAGACTTCATACAGTTTGCAAATATAGCATAAACATGCATTATAATATGTATATTTTGCAGTCCATTTTTATGACTATTAAACTACCCTGCAGACATCTAATGCCACCTGTGCATTGTATTGAAACCTCAACCCACTGAAATCATCCGTAGCATTATAACCTTAAACATACACACACAAAGTTTTCTTTTCTCCCAGTGATCACTTAAAGACCCAGGGTCAGTTATCAAGTGAACATACAGATGCAATAAAAAAAATACATAGGACACGTATGCCCAAAAATACATAGTACCCCATTTATTTGATAACTGGATGATTTCAGAAGGAAATGCAATACTTTTTTGTAAATAGAAATTTAGGAAGGAGGTCTATGAGAAAACAATGCTTTTGTGATTAATGCTAGTTGTAGGAATTACTTCAAATCTCTCTGATGTAGAAATAGCTTGAGTATCAAAGCAGTCCATAAGAAATTCAGTTTTACACTGAAGTAATATAATATTTAAAAAGTAGATAAATACCTTATTTAACAATCAAAATTATTAGTTTTTACCAAACTGCAAGAGATTTGTGCAGAATAAAATTAAATAAAGTCCTTCTCCAAAGCTGTATGTATGGAAGTACACACCTTACATATCTAAAGCCTATTTCAATTCTGTCAGGAGCATTTTTTCTACATGTAGGAAAATTTAATAGCACTTATGACAGAAAGTGTTATTCTACTTAAAAATTGAGGCATAAGAGAGGAGCCTGACACCGTTTGATAATTAGTTGTCTTGTAACAAAAAGACTTAGTTGCTCAACTCTTGCAGAAAAAAATTATTAGCAGAAATCTGTAATTGCTAACTCAATTCAGAAATTGCACCTCAAACCCTCATTAATTTCCATATATTTAACTTTTTCTGCCTGGTATTCCCTAGGTAGATAACATTACATTTCAGGATATAGCAAACTTTATGTTAGACATCTGAAAGCATTCCCAGATTAATATTAGGGATCTCTTCTGTCATCACTGAAATACAACCACCTCTGGAAAGGAACACGCCAAGTTTTTTTACGGTGCAATGCAATTCTGTTGAACAGATTGATATTGACACATTATTTTTTAAAAAAACCCAAACCTTACTCTCTTGTAATGTCTTGAGTACTGAAGGCTACCAAGAAGTGATAGCAGCCAGGTCAACTAGATTCCTATTTTGCATTGCCTCGCTGGCACAGAGTGCCTTGCACGTACCATATGACATGCTCCAACACAAAGCTTAACCCAACAGCGTAACCCAATACTCAAGTTACCTTTTTTTCGCCTGCAGCTATACACAAGCCAAAAGCTTACAGGATTGCTGGCAACTTCTTGATTTCTTTCACTTCAGTCTTATGCAGCTACTGGTAATTTCCTCTAAGCAATCTTTCACTCAAATGACTCATTACTATACATCCATCAAAAATATAACTCACACATATGTCCAGGTTTCATGCAGAGTATATCACAGTGTGTGCAAGTGATCACGTGACAAGGAGTTTAATATCCCTGATAATTATCAATCTACAGCAAGAAGCAGGAGATCTGACTACTGGATTTTTGCTAGGGCCCCAACACATATTGGTGACACCACTAAAGCAGGCATGCCTCAGTATACCCAATTATTAAATAGTTTTCTCATTCACACTCCCACCTGCCCCAATAATGGAGCTACTCATCAACTTGAAAATCTTTGCTGGATTAAACATCCAGCTCAGAAGAGCAGCCTCTTACTCAGATAGGATCTCTTATTCTTTATATATTTCAAGATTGTTTTTGAAATTTCATCCTTACTCTACTTGGGCACAGTGTTCTGTCCAAAGTGGAAAAAAGCAATTTCTTCATTGTTGTTCAAGGCAAAGTTGCTTAATCACACAACGGACAAAATGCATTCTCACAAAGTCCAAGAGGAATGAAAAGTAATGCTCACATGGGCTTATCACCTGTGTTTTCCTGGTGACAGAGAAAGACATGGGCTTTGTCTGTAATCTTGAAAGACACGTTCACACTGAAAGACTTTGCACAGAAAAAGTCCTAAAGTCCATTGGCTGTAATAAATAATGCTAGCTGCTACATCTCCTTACTGATACCAGTGAGGCTTCCAGCTGAAGCGTCTCATCTGAGTCATTACATTCACATTCAGCAAAGTGTAGACAAAGCCATTATAGAACAAATTAGCAATCAAAAACCCCAAGATGGTAAACACAGCTTGTAGACTCAGTATGTACACAAAAGAAACTACATTTTAAGTGAGTACCAGCCTTTTAATAGATTTAAGATAAGGTCATCATAAGAAGTCATTTCAGATCATAACCTTGAAGTGACCCAAGCAAGGGTGACCATTGCAAGATCCGAAGGTGCAAGTTACAGATATAGCCTGCTCTGCTGTCAAAATAGTAACAATTTTAGATTCCACTTGTATTTGAATGTAAGCTAAGAGTTTAACTAGTTTCTCAGACTTTGATTTTTTTTGTAGCAACTGTTGAGAACCCATATGCCAAAAAAGTGCAAAAAATATCCCCACAGTATCTCTCAAAGAAGGAAGGCTGCTTTCTGGAACCAGCCAGTCACCTCAGCGCTATCATTACAAGCGCTCGTTATCCACTTACATTTTCCTAAAACACCTGGCTGGATAGACACACATTTATGTCTATTCAGCCTACGGGCTTGGGAACGTGAAGATGTGTCATCACACTAAGGACACTACGAACTACATCTCCTCCAGTCTCATATTCAAGTTAAACAATAGAGGTGAAAAGTTAAAGCCACATGTAATCTTGAAGAACACTGTGTTCAAGAAGGAAAAGCAATTGCTCAACAGCACCTACTGAAACTGCTGAATAAAATACAATCTAACTGGATCTCTCCACTCTGCCACACTTTCATGCACAAAGATGTCAGCACTCCCTGCTTGGTGATAGCTTTATTACACCTCTACCTGTCTCAGAGGAATTGAATTTGCCTGGAATGGCACATGAATGAACTGAGATCTTTAATGTGACAATACCAAACATACCAACAGGGCTTACCAATAAATCAACCCCCAGTTTTGTGAAAATTAAAAAAATATTGAGGGCATGGAGCTGCAGGCCCAACACATCAATCACTTGCACCACTCTTCTCCTTCCCCCGAACCCCCTTGCTAACGCACTTTCACGAGATCACAGCCAGACTATCCACCTTCCCTTTAGCACCCTCCAGCCTAGGCAAGGAGGCTTTGAACTCTCTCACCACCACACCCCCAAAACAGACGTCACCAGTGCTGGCAACGAAGACTTTCCCGCTCCAGCAGCCCCAGCCCTCCC